AGCTCCTCCCACCAGCCTCAGGAAAGTTCAAATGAAATGGAGGCAATTTTATTCTACCTTAGTCCTCTGTATCTCCCTGATTCCTCCCTTGCAGCCAGCAGCTCCTCCCACCAGCCTCAGGAAAGTTCAAATGAAATGGAGGCAATTTTATTCTACCTTAGTCCTCTGCATCTCTCCGACTCCCCCTGATTCCTACAAAGGGCATCCAAAGTCTCTAGAAGGCTTAGAAGCCCTTGAAGAAAATAATCTTCTGCAGCAACTTGTATTCCCTGGCAGTGAGTGTTATTGAAACTGGAACCTTCATTTTGTTCAGGTTAAGGTAACTTTCTAATTAAAAGGATGCAATAAATTCTAGAATTTTACAGTGCATTACAAAATAAATGTTGCTGCAGCTGGTACAAAATATAGCAGTTAAAGTGAATTTTGGAGCAGAATATAAAACTGATCCAAATAATAATTCTGAAAAAAATGTACTGGCTGCCAGTATATTCTTACTCAGAATTCTGGCTAATAATTCTGTTTAAAAGTTCAAAGTAGTTTGCTCGTTTTATCTGTTATGATCTGTCATGAGAATTCTATATTCAATAGTGGGAACTACAGGAATTCAGAGATGGGATGAAAAGCCCTGTTAACTGTGGCACCTTGATTAGAAATTTCACCTTCAGAAACTTGGCTGATGTCATCATTGTCTTCATTTTTGTGGCAAATTAAAACCTAATTATTCTCCAAGTTGGTGGAGACAGCATGGGTTAAGTTCGTCCAGCATCCAATAGGACTGAGTCTACAAGCTGTGACATCACACCACCTGTTGTAGCTCCTACCAGCTTTTAGACTCAGTCTATTCCTGGATTGGCTGTGCCTTTTGATCTCTCCTCCAACTTTAAATAGATTGAATATTTTTTCCAAATTTAAACATTAAGATAAGGAATCGCCTCTACTCTACCTCCATTTCACCTGGGAGGCAGAGGAGCTGTTTTGTGGCACTCCATGCCTTGCCTTTGTGTATCTCATGCCACAAGGCCTCTCAGGCCCCCAACATCGAGGATAGCCTTACAGTGACAAGCCCACGGGTGGCAACCCAGTGGCCTCTGTCACTTCAGCCGATCGGTTCCCCCTCACAACAATCTCCATCTTACCGCTTTAGCCTCAGGCATCTCTGCAGCCACCACCAGCCTCGCCCTTGGTATGGACGCCTCTGCTGCTGCCGCTTCTGCCTCCGCCTGTGTCGAACATCGCTGCCTGCTTCAAAAGGTGAAAACAAGGCTACCGCCACTGCCATAGCCTCCAGCACCATCGTCAAGGCTGCGGTCACCGTTGCCCATCTTCAGCTGGCAAAATAGCCCTGCTCAATCCTCAGTCGGGTGGCTATTTTGGGTGGGACACGTAGTGGCCATTTTAGTACAACTTTGGGTGGGAAAAATGACCAACAACCACCAGGAGCCGTAAATAAGAGGCATGTCTTCTGAGGGATCCATTGGCTCTCTCAGAGATCCCCTTGATGGGAGAGCCCTGACCCTGGTTCATTGGGGCTTAAGGCCAAGAAGAGGGTGGGTCCTGATCAGGGAGTCTTGAGTCGGCCTGCTAAGGCCGCCAAGCCTGGTAACCGGTCAGAATGCCATAATCACCAGGCATTGGAAATGGACACTAATAAGGCCGCTAAGCTAGCTCCCAGAAAGGCCAAAGCTAAATCTAAGCACCGTAAAGTAACTTCACACTCCTTTATGGCTCAAAGGGCCCTGGTTGACAGTCCTCCAGCTGAGTTATCTTTCGACACTGAGGGTGAAAATTTTACTCCAGTTTCCCCTCTTTAGCCTAGGATGGGGTAGGTTTCTTGGACATTCCCTTAGCTGAGGACAGGTCTATGGGAGACATGGAGGTTGACTCCCCTATTCCTAGGGGCCTACAATATCAAGGCCATCCAAACACCCCTGATATGGCTGACATCATTGTGGTGGCCATAGAAAGTTGCATTGCAGCTGGCCTCCAGCACCGCGGCTCTGCAACTTCCACCCCTCAGAGAGATGTTTCAGGCTCTAAATGTGCCAAGAGGGATAAAGGCCATTCCTTCCAACTTACTGGGGCTCCATCTGATTCCACCTCTCAAACCTCAGTTTGAGAAACAGAGGAACATGTCCCCACGGACTTCTCTGAGGATGAGGATTTGACCCCTTGTTCCATTCTCTCCTCTTTAAGGCAAAGAAGATCTCAGGTATCCCGGCTTCCAAGCCCATCCAAGCAGCTGACCTGGATAAGTCCGACATCACGAATCCCCTCTTCTCTTGCCCCACGGTAGAAAAAGACATAGTTCCCTCTCCCAAACTTTTCCTGGAGGTTGTCCAGAATCAGTGGGTTTCCCCAGGGGCAGAACCTCTCCCCAATTTCTTGGACAAGCAGTTATATAATGTGGGGCCTGAATTGTCCAAGCTCTTGGAGGTCCCCTCTATCGACCTCTCGGTAGTGATCTTTCTTCCCCTAATGCAGCTTCAGCTGCTCCAGAGGACGGTCTCCAGCAGGACGATAAGAGGTTTGAACAAACCCTGGTCAAAGGCCATCGGTCCTCTGCCTGTATGGTTTGAGCCTCCACCTCGAGCTCTTTCTTCAGCAGGGCTGCCCTCCTTTGGCTGAGACAATTGCATGATAGAATCCCACCCAGTGACGCCAGGTCCCATGAGGACATCAACAAACTGAAAGCAGCCATTGAATATTCAGCTGTCGCGTCCTTGGATGCGGCATGCTTTGCCTCCAAATCCATTGCTTCATCTGTAACAATTAGACACCTCTTGTGGCTCAAGCAATGGCAGATGGATGCAAGGGCAAAATGGAGATTAGCATCTTCTCCATTTTCAGGCAATCACCTCTTTGTGCCATGCCTAGAACCCCTTCTCATTGAGTTAAAGGATGAATGGAAGATCCTTCCATCTAACACTTGAAAATCAGACACTCTTTTTTCTGATGGTTGCCCTTTTGAGGGTCGGGCGGGGGCTTCAACTACCCCACATCCCCAATGTCAGGCCCCTCCAAGACAGAGTTCCTCCTCCCATGGTAGATCAGGCAGGAATACTCAATGCTTTTCCCCTAGGAAGCCCTTCCGGGGGGATTCCAACCATCCCTTTGGGAGGCAGAAGTGACTGTCTGGACTCACTTCCCATTGGGGGTTGCCTTTCGGCCTTCACAGATCATTGGGACAACATCATCAACAGCTCTTGGGTGAACAATCAGAATGGGGCTGGCTCTAGAGTTCCTCTCCACCCTCCCAAGGTACTTTGTCACATATCCCGTATCAACACAAAAGACTATTGGTCGAGGAGGCTATCCGGCACCTTCTCCAGATTCGAGCTATCCAACCGGTGCCTCTAGACCAGGAGGGACATGGGTTCTACTCTCGTCTCTTTATCGTGCCAAAGTCTTTGGGAGGTTGGAGAAGCTATTCTCCACCTAAAATTTCTCAACTGATTTGTAATCTACTGAAGGTTCAAAATGCACTCCCTGCAGTCCATCTTGGAGGGCATTCGCAAGAACAACCTCCTCTCCTTGGTGGACCTTATGGAGGCATACCTCCACATCCTCATTCTGCCCAACCACAGACAGTTCCTTCGGTTCACCTATGCAGGAAGCCATTTTCAATATCAGGCTCTTCTCTTCAGCCTCTCTTCTGCCCCGAGGGTTTTTACCAAAATATTTGCAGTCATAGTGGCCATCTCCACTCCAAGTCCATCAGGTTTCAATGTTATCTGGATGATATCCTCCTTCAGTCCAGATCCTTGAATCAGGCACACAGGGATCTCCATCACAAGGTCCTCCAAAATCACAGGTTCTCCATCAAACTGCAAAAGAGCCACCTAGAACCCACGACACATCTAATCCCCCTGGGGGCAGATATAGTCACAGTGCAGGGAAGGGTCTTCCTCTCCCAGGAGCGACAAATCACCCTTTGGAAGTTAGCATCCTCCATCAAAAGACAGCACAAGGTTCCTCTTCTCCACCTTTCCCAAATGCTGGGGGAAATGGTCTCCTCTTTTTCCATAGTTCCTTGGTCCTGTCTCCACAGTCGACGGTTTCAGTGGTTCCTGCTTCCCTATCAGAAGACCAACAGCAGCTGTTTATCTGTCCAGGTATGTCTGACACCAGAGGTAACTCGATCCCTGGAGTGGTACTATCCCCGGCTCTGGCTTGGGGAACTCTATTCTGGGAGCCTCATCGCATGACTCTCAGAACAGATGCCAGTCTCCTGGGATGGGGCTCCCATCTTCATACTCACCTTGCCTAGGGGCTATAGTCCCAAGCGGACCTAAACCACAGCATAAATTGGATGGAGCTGCAGGCTGTCCACCTTGTGCTGCTTCACTTTCAAAACACTGTGACAAATGCACATGTACTGGTCCTCATGGACAACACCACGACAAAAGCGCAAAGCAATCGGCAGGGAGGGACAAGTTCCAAGTGTCTGATGGAGTTGGCCTACCAATTGGGTCTGTGGGTGGAAACTCACCTTCTCTCCCTCCGTGCAGAACACATTTCAGGGGTGGACAACACACAAGCGGACTGGCTCAGCCGCACTTAGCTCGACCCTGCAGAATACAGCCTCAATCACTGCATCTCCAGGGAGCTGACCGACAGGTACGGAATTCCAATCCTAGACCTCTTCGCCACGCAGTTCAACAACCAGCTGCTGAGATATTTCATGTGTTACGTGACAACAGGGTCTGAGGGAGCAGACACTCTGCTTTCCCTCCATTCCCGCTGATCCAAAGAGTAATACAAAAAATATTGGCAGAGGAAGCAGAACTGATTCTCATAGCCCTGTATTGGGCCCGCAGGCCCTGGTTTGCAGACTTAGAGAACCTTTCCGGGCCCCACTGTGGCGGTTCCCCCAGAGCAGCTCTCTACTTCTCCAAGGGTCGATATGCATCCTGGCCTTTCTTGGCTGTGCCTAACTGCCTGGCGATTGAACGGGCGGCCCTGACTGCAGTCAATCTCTCTGATAAGGTCATCCAGACTATTCAGGTGGCCAGGCACTCTTCTACTAACTGGATTTATGATGCCACATGGGCTTGTTTCTCTAATTGGTGTCAGACTAGGGCAGGGGTTGGCAAACTTAAACACACAAAGAGCCATTTGGACCCATTTCTCACAGAAAAGAAAACACCGGGAGCCACAAAGGTCCTAACCGGAAGGCCCCTGTTCAATTCTGGAGCTGACCGGAAATTCAGTTCCCCCACCATAGAGTCTCCTCCTAGTGCAGCATACTTTTTCCTCTTCATATCATAACCGAAAGCCCTATCAATTGTGGAGACAATTGGAAAACCCTCCCCTTGCCATAGAGTCTTCTCCTGGCGCACTGTGCTTCTCTCCCCCCCCACCACCAGAAGCTCCTCTCAAAATTGTGGTGACGACCAGTGACGGAGCCGCAGCAGAGGGAGGAAAGAGCCACATGTGGCTCCAGAGCTGCACTTTGCTGACCCCTGGACTAGGGGCATTGACCCTATTCAAGCTTCCATCCCCAAGGTCCTCGAATTTCTGCAGCAGGGTCTTGACAAAGATCTCGCCCCTAACACCTTCCAACGACAGGTGGCAGCCCTTTCATCAGTTCTGGTTCTCCGATCATCCAAATCTCTTTCTCAACACCCATTCAGACGCTGTTTCCTCAAGAGCGCGTCCAATCTCAAACCTCCTATGATACACTGATTTCGATCTTGGGATGTTGTTAAGGTGCTGGATTTTCTCATGCAGGATCCCTTTGAACCTTTACGTTCTATCCCCCTTACACAATCTAACATTGAAGGTACTTTTTCTTGTAGCAATCACCTCAGCGAGACAGATCTTGGAGCTGGCAGCCCTGTCCGTCAGGGAGGACTTATGCATATTCCATCCTGACAGGGTCATCCTCCGCCTTGACCCTACATTCGTTCCAAAGATAAATTCAGTCTTTCACAGGACACAGAAACTAGTCCTTCCAAATTTCTGCCCTAATCCATCTCACAGATTGGAACGTAAATGGCACTCCCTCGACGTTCTCCGAGCCCTCCTAGTATACATCAAGAGGATGGCAGACTTTCGTCGCTTGGAGGCCTTATTTGTCAGGTCCCAACCTGGTAGTAAGAGGGGATCCAAGGCCTCCTCTTCAGACATATGGCAGTGGATCACATCTGCCATCTCTAGAGCTTATGCTGCACAGTCGCTGCTTATCCCTCCACAAGTGATGGCGCACTCGACTCGAAGTGTGGCCACATCAACCACCTAGTCTTCCCAGGCCTCAGTGGAGGAAATATGTAGGGCAGCCACATGGATTACAACATCTTCATTTATCCACCACTATAGACTTGATAAGTACGTGTCAGTAGAAGCTGCATTCGGAAGGAGGATGTTGCAGCAGGTTCTATCCACACATAGAGACTAGGTCCTCACATGAGACCCACCCAGAGAGACAGGACTGGCTTTGATATGTCCCATGCCTGGATGATGTCTCCACCAACTTGGAGAATGGTTGTTGGTTCTTACCTGATACACCTGTTCTCTGAATGGTGGAGACATCATCCAGCCCCACCCTTTCTGACATGATCGGACTGTAGTCATTAGGTCTACAAGGAGAGATAACAACCTTTTTCTTGAGCTTCAAGGCACAGCAATCTACAGTCCACCTTCATCAAAAGCTGAGAGGAGCTACAACAGGAGGTGTAAGATCACAACTTGTAGACTCAGTCCTATTGGATGCTGGACAGAGTTAACCCATTCCTGAATGATGTCTCCACCATTCAGAGAACGGGTGTATCAGGTAAGAACCAACGCCCATTTACTAAATTTAATTTCCTTGTGATATTCACTATTATGGTGGTGTTAATGTTAAACTCTTCTATGTTTTGATACTATGAGTTGATTTACAGATAATTCTTGATCTACAATCACAATTGATCCTGGGATCTTAGTTGTTGAGTGAAGTGGTTGTTAAATAAGATTCATGATTCAGACAATGACTGTCTTCCCAGCGCTCTCATTTGTGGTAATTAAGTGGCACTAAGTGGAATGAGGAGGTGCTTCAACAGGAGGTAGGCCCTGGGAGGCCTGGGCCCCACTGGTGCATGTAATGAGGTGGCGCAGTGGTTAGGCTGCAGTACTGCAG